GTCGAAGTTGTCAGATCCTACTTTGCAATAAACAGACCGATCCTATAAACTTGCGTGGCACCTCATGCCTACCCTGAGTTCCTGCAGTGGCAGACCACCTATTACTATAAATCCCTGTCAAATCTAAGATCCACTCAACTATAAGATATTAAGATCTCAGAAAGCTCAGAAAGTTAGTATTGACTCCTACTCTGCACCTCCTCATCCTGCCTTTCTTAGTTTACTTGGTTAAATGTCACCAAACAGTCATTTTAGATGTTGCAATTCTTACATAAGGACTATTTTTAGGTTGGTTGCTTTCAATAAACGTCCTCAATGATAACCCATTATATTATTTAGAATCTGATCTGCAATAGAAAAAAGATGCGGCCACAAAATCATTTCATGGCCTAATAAATGTTCCACTCATGTGAAAACTACGTTGTAAAAATAATCCGTATTCAAGCATGAGAAAACCTCTTGCCATGTACAAGCTACTGAAGAGTCAGCATTTAAAGTCAGCTGACACAGAAACTCCTTTACAGGATTTGGTGTTTTTGAATGAAATTCCTTGTCAGTAAGAAGCAGAAGTGGGAACTTAGAATAAGGAAGGAAGCATGAACAGTGTGATCGACTTCATTAAAGCCAAGAAACATTTTTGATTTCCGAATTGAAAGAGAAAATTCTGCTTCTTTATGCAGCTCATTCACTCGTTTCTTATTAAAATCTTACATCAAGGTTGCTGGTCTATGAAATCATTGCCGTCACTGTTTGCTTTTCATGTGTGTACGCATGAGGACTCGCCAAATTGAACAACCCAGACAGATTGCTATATACAGTGTCATGACTTCTCTAAAATCATTATCTTTATGGGCTCCAACTTGCTGCCAAATGACGGGACAATATGCTGCGATACTTAGAACAACCTTAAAGTGAATCATTGCACCGCAGAACTCAGCAGTTTGTGGCACAACTATGGGACGTATCTGTTATCATTCCAGCGTCATGCAGCAATAACAGACTGCCATTGAGGAGAGAAAAGATAGAATCAATTAAACCTAATGGACCCATCTAAAAATTTCTACTTACACCGTCATTTTAAAAATCGACAGCGCCGTCAGTCCTTTCTGACTACAAGGTAATTACCACAGAGGCACTGCAGCTGAGGAGAAATATCTGATCTCACTTTAGAGGTTTAATCTCATTTTAACCAGGATTAGCTTTTATTGGGCGATATCTCTCCTCCTGCCCTGCTTTATCAAATAAAACAGTCTCACTAGTCATTTGAGTCGTGTGCATAAAAGTGAAACACCCTGTCTGCATCATCGTGTCACTGAACGTGTAAACTAGTGATGCCCTGTGCCATGCATGAGTTAATAAAGCTGTAAAACGAATGTCTATGTTCTCTTAGGAGGATTATAAAGAAAGAACGAATGACTAGTTTGAGAACATATATTCTAAAATTGTTGAATTCTCTCAAAATATTATTTCTTTTTCTTGGCTTTTAAAACAGTAAAATGCTGTATGATTATTACCCCCCCCAAAAAGAGCTGAATGACTGTTTTCTGATCCGTCACAACTATGTGTGAGCTTTGGTTCGGTTTATAGACACAAAAACTACACAGTTGAACCTGCAATATTTTTGTGTCGCCAATTGGAGGCAGTGTCAACAAGCTGTGAATACAACACTAATATGTTGTCACCTTTGAATTTGATTTGGTGAAGTTACAATAGTTCCTTAGTTAAGTCCAGCAGTTATAGAGAAACATTTAAATTCAATCTGAGTTGCATTTCTGGCCACCTGACAAATCTAAGTCCAATATTCACTGCCTTTAGCTTTGTGTTTGGTCTCTTGCTATCTGTAAGGGGGGCATCCGGCTGTTTACCAGCTAAGCTATGTTCACCAACTAGTCGGAAACCATATCTGTTTGCTGTTACCTACAAGTAGGTCATGTGTCAAGGTTGGGTTTTTTTAAAAGGTAAAAACAGTCCGCTATGCCTTAAGACCCACTGCAGCAGGCTGTATCATCTTTTTTTATAGTCAGTTTTTTTCCCCTCGACCAACAAGAGTTTTAACCCTTTAGGGCTCCTTAAGAATCTTGTGAAGCACCTAAAAGCTTTGTTTTAAATATTTGCATGAATAAAAAATGGTCACTTTTCCTGTGATGGACTGGAAATCCCCCTTCACAGCTACAATTCAAATTTTCTTTAGTGAGTCGAACATACGAGCCACTAAATACAATAAATCATGTTCAGTAGGAGTCTTGTTCATTTTAATTTCCAAAACCAAGCCTGCAGAAAATGTATTGGCCACCTTTTTTGTTACCGCTCTTAAGTTTTGGTGGGTTTCCAGTAATTTTAGTGAAGTCAGTGGCTTGTACGTAAGTTAACAACAATATTTTAACCTTTTGTTAAGACACATTAATAAAACTGAAATTAGAAAGTAGACCCTCTGCAATGTGAAAGCAGTGACAAGCAAACATAGATTGAGGATGTTCTTAACGTTACACAGGGCTATAAATGTTTTTAGGTAACTTTTCAGGCTATCTGTGCTACACTGACCACAAATGCAGTATTTCCTATCTGGTTTGGGGTTTGAAGCATCCAATAGTCGCTGGGGCGTGTTAAGCACAGGCCAACGAGCCACAGCAGCAAGGGTGAGATATAAGATGGCAATTCTGCACAAATGGCAGATAAATAGATACATAACTGCAGGTCATTTTCAGCATCAGGTATTAAAGCTTCCCTGGAAAACCCAAATCCTGAGATGATACCTCCATCATGCCCTGTTGGTCAGCATCTCTCAGAGTTTTTGCAGAGTTTGACTGTGAAAAAAAGAACCTGCATATTGCAACATATACAGTAAAGAGAGAGAAGATTAAACTGCAACATCCTGCACTTAAATTCCCCATATCATTCTTTTTTTCTAAGTAAAGTGTAGCAGAACTACTCTGGCGTTAAACACAGATGTGATTAAACTAACACATCAGTAGACTCTCATTTCTTCCATTTCATTCCCCCACTTAATGAAACTCAGCATCACAGAACCCAGTAAACTTTGTCCTGGTTAACTCTGAGTCAACCTTGAAATATTTGCTCTGACTTGCATCCATCTTTACCGTTGCTGATTTCCATTCCTTTTACTCACCGATAATCTTTGCGTGTGCCGGCTCCATCTGACATTCAGGAAAACTGCAACCATTCTACATAATAAACTAATCCTTGTAAAATATATAGAGTTTCTTTTAATTCTCTTCATACATGGGTATAAGAATTACAGATGGGTGACAAATTAAAGGAAAAACCTGAACACTTGACCCCCACAGTGACGGGGTCTGATGGTTCTGGTGGCGGCTATTTGGGTCCACTTGTTGCCTTAGAGGGGCTCAGTACTGAGTTGTTCTGAGTGATCGCCTTCATCCTGTAATGAAACATTTCTGTCCTGACGGGAGCGGCCTCGTCCAGGATGATGATGCCCTGACGGCACTGAACGGTCACTGAATGGTTTGGTTAGCATGAAAACGATGTGAATCGTCAGTTAGGACCTTTACAGTCACTAGATCTAGGCAGGGGACACCCTGGACAGGTCACCAGTCTATCACAGGGCTACACTTAGAGACAGACAAGCAAGCACACTCACATTCACACCTACGGACAATTTAGAATCACCAATTAACCTCAACATGTTTGTGGACTGTGTGGGAGGAAGCTGGAGAACCCGGAAAGAACCCACACTGCACGGGGAGAACATGCAAACTCCACGCAGAAAGATTCCGGTGCCCCCACCGGGACACGAACCGGCAACCTTCTTGCTGGAAGGCAACAGTGCTAACCAACTGCGCCACCCTGCAGCCCAAAGTGTTATCAGCCCTGGGACCGTTGCCCGGTGCGGGAAGGGACCAGCTTAGCGTGGTGAGCTATCGCTATCTTACTAAACACTTTGGGTTGATCATTCCCCCTATTTGTCACTCATATATATAGTTAAAGTAGTTGTCTCCTGTGAATCCCTTCTTTAAAGCCATTAACTATAAGTATTAATTGATTCAATTGTGAATAATTGTTCATATTTCAAAAGGATCAGAATCCTTGTCACCTGATGTTGAGCAGGACATTTTGGTAATTTAAGTGTGTTAAGCAAGAAATACATTGACCACATGAGCAAGTTAGCTCTTGTCTGACACTGTCCGTCAAAAAACTCAACTGGAAACCCAGCCAGGATTTCGGAACAGAGTGAAATGTCTCCACTGCCATGCTTTTTTCCTCGCTTGACACAACGGGTGACCACAAACCAAGTGGGTTTCAGTGGAATTTGCTGCATGTCTCTACATACGTGCTGTTGTGTATAACCTCACATTTGCCTGCAAATGCCATGAGGTCAACATGAGCGAATCTATTTTGCCTCTTGCTTGCATTGCGGTTGCAGAAATGAGAACAGCAGCATTGGTAGCATAGAGAAACACTCACCTCAAAAACCCAACAGTAGAAAGCTTCCGTGCTAGAAAGTGAGACAGGCAACAGTTGAGCGCTGTAGGAATTTACCTTTATTGTATCACAACTTAAATGTTTTCCTTTCGTATGTGGGTTTTGTTTTAAGACCCACGACATTTTCTTTTTTTATACTGAACCAGTGGATCTTTTTTTGACTCATAACAAATCTAAACTGAACAGTTTATATACATGAATTCAAAAAATTTTATTAGCTGCTTTGTCGAACTATTAGGATTTTATTTTATTTTTTTAAAGACTAAAAGTTAGCTGTAAAATTGGTCTGCGTAGAAAGATGCCAACAAATATGTTTTGGTCCATTTAAAAAAGCCACTGATCCTGTCGTAAAATGATTTTTAGTGGCCATAATAAGTAAGACAAAGTGTTCTGAGACACAGGTATTACGGGCACAGGTACTACAAGTGTTTTAATGTAGTCATTTGAAATGCAAATCTTAAATATATACATAGACCACATCCTATTGCAGTGGAAAATACACTGACACCCTCAGACCACCCATTATGAGTGTGGAAGGACGAGCACCGCGCTGGTGAGCTGTTGTGGGAGGAAGTTTTATACTCGACTTTCCAATCTTGAGTGCATCTGTGGGTGCAGCGTGCTTGCAAGCAGCATAAACGAACGTCGACTGAGTTGGTGGTCTTTAAAAGCAGCTTGCAGTGCAGACTACACTTCACATCTGCTCCAGCTACAGACACACAATGACAAGTCTCACCTTCATCTCACTTTTACTTCTCGCCATCATGGTGTCAACGGCCTCAGCTCAAGGTAAGAACAATGCGTACATTTTAATGCTTGAGCGTTTAGTTTGTTTGTGTATTATTTAATATGTAAGGATTATGGCAGTAATTGAACATGTCAATCTTGTGTTTTTATTCAAAGGTGGGATTGGAAACTGCTGTTACAAATTTGGACACAAAAGAATCCAACGAGACCAGCTGAGGAGTTACTACAAAGAAGATCCAGCGTCGTGTCCTTTACGTGCAGTGGTGTAAGTCGCAAAACTAGTTTGTCTTCAAGTGGTCTTTTGACACATAGTAGTTCACAATTACCTACAGAGTTTTGAATAATCATGTCGTCTTGCTGCAGCATGTCACTAAATGTCTGATTTTTTTTGGTTGTGATTTCCATAGATTCACTACAATCCACGGAGTAAGACTTTGCTCTGACCCTGCGGTGGTGTGGACACAGACCAGCATGGCCTATCTGGACGGAAAGAACTGGCATCGACAGCATGTCTTACAAATCCTCCGCCAGTGACTGCACACTGACACGAAATGTTAGCACTGCTGAACTTAAAAGACGGACTTTGAATGTTTTTCTATACCCTACCTTACCTAATGTTAATGAACTAATAACGACCTCTATTGTATCTTCCTTTTTTTACATGTGATTTAAATGATGTTTATCTGCATGAGTGTAAATATGTAAATAACTTTCATTGTATTTTATTACTAACGTACACTGGTGAATAAAAATGGTCTCAAAGTAATGGCTACGTTTTGGTGTTTTGGAAGTTTTAAAATAGATTGTTGTCGAGGTGTGTGTCCAGAGGAAATCTATACCATCTGTGACTCGGCATCTCTGCTCATGTCGTTATCTCTTCTGTTTGTGTGCGTCATCGCCACAAAAAGATCACAAAAGATTCATTGATGTTAAGACGATGAGCAGTAAAAGGAGATGGTTGAGATTTCTCAGAGGTAACATGAAAGCCTCGACAGACTAGACTGGATTCCTGTTTTCAAAATGTTACTTAAGAAGTATTACCAATAAAATTCACTAAAAAGGAAAATTGCCCAGTGCCCTCAATAAGTGTTACATTTTTAGACATAATTTATTAGATCATAAGCAGTGATGCACTATTGAGTAATTAGTGTGTTAATGTTGATGTACTATTAGTGTCGGCAGTTGAATCTTTAACAAGGTGACGAGGCCGTCATGTGTTTCCAATTTGTAAAATAACCAATAACTATGGCTGTAAAAGTAACCGAGAGAATGTATAAAATGGCAAGCAGGGCACATTTACAGTGCACTTTTTAGCAATATTTGAATAAATGTACATATTTTTTACTTGCCCTCAACAATTTTCCAAAAATAGTCCAATTCTTAGCTACATTTTAATATATTTAAATATAAGAGAGAGGAGAATAAACGGCTGTATGCCGCAGTTTATTTTAAAACACAGCGTGGTGAGTCCTTAATAGAAGCCTGTCAGCTCTGATGTTCTAACTATAATGTTCTCTGTAGTACTGTGTTAAAGATAGCTCCACTTTTTATTTTTATTTTTATTTTTTTTTAAATAAAATATGATAATCCCAAAGCACAGATCTGAAATTTTAGTATTTTATGTCATCTAAGGCAGGGGTTCTCAACTGGTCTCACCCTGGAACCCACATTTTCCCATGGTCATCAAGTCGTGACCCACTTTTTTTTAGAATTCAGTATTCAATATATTTTCCTGTGCAACATGCATTTCAGAGCATATAACCATGCATAGTAACTGAACCATGACCACTGCATGTACAAAACTGCACAAAATAAATAAAGGGCACAAAACAACATGTTTTCACTCCATTTTGAGCAAATTAATAAGAAACTAAGGAGGACCATGACACGTGCATGTACAAGAGTGAATAAAATAAATATCAAAACTACTCGAAAATAAAGTTCTGGCCTAATCAGGTCATTTGTTGAAGTTAATGAGACAGTTGGTGCTCTACTCCTGATTAGAGTTTCAGCATCTGGGGTGACAGTAGACAGAGATCATGCTCAGTGTCCAACCTGTTCCTCTGCTGTGACCTGAGCTGGACCAAGGTAGAGAAGCCACTGTCACAGCAACAGGTTGAGCTGAATGGTAAGATTGTTTTAACTGCAGGAGTGGTGAGGGATGGATACTCAGCCATCACATCGCTGCACCACAAGTGGGAAAGGCTGACCTCCCCACATCTCTTTCTCAACGTCTGATCACATGACAGCTCCACCGGCTGATGCTCTCGTGCAGCCACATTTCGTTGCCAAACAGTTCTGCGTACAGGGAGTTAGTCTCAGAGAGGAATGTGGCCATTTCTGATTTAAGTTCATGACAACACCTCGCCCTTCGACAGCCAGCGGACTTCTGAGTGCGCGCAGGCTTCGACGGGCTGGAAGTGGTGGGACGCACAGGCAGCATTTTGGCTACTAAGACTTATTTTTCAGACGGGGGGGTGTGCGGCTGCTGAGCATTCAGTCCGACCGTCATCACACTGCTGTATCGGTATTGGTGGCGGCGGCGGCAGGGGGGAGGTGGGAGGAATATTCGGAGATCAAAATTGATATTCCGATTCCAGCACAGCGAACGAATAGTTGGGTATTAGGCTATCCTAGTATGAAAATCCACATTTTAAATACTCTGGGTCATATTTGTGCTTTGCCATCTTGCATGCCAACATCAACACAAACTTAAAATGAACGTCGAACAAAATATGGTTACCATGCCTGTCAAAATAAAAAATAAGTCGCACATTATATATTATTTAATTTTGACCAGCTGTCCGCGACCCACCCAGAACAGGTCCGCGACCCACTTTTGGGTCGTGACCCACCAGTTGAGAACCCCTGATCTAAGGTATTCCTTTACAACAACTGTATTTATGGCAAGTGTTTATTCTTTAAGACAATGCTTGTGCTGCAGGGTTTCATTACAGGTGCAGACAGAATGTTGGATCATGCTGTTCTATTTTTTTGTATTTAAAAATAGATTAAAAATTACACGTCTCACCAGACAAGTCTTAGTCACCCAGAGATGCTCTCTAACCGTACCATAACCTTTCAATTCCCCTCTCACGACACAAAAACCACAAAATAAAATGTCAACTCCAACACAAACATTTTATTAATCAAAGTCTGCTTATCTAATTTCTCACGACTATGTGTGAGTCATTTGTGGCGTTCTCTGCTCCATCATTTTTACCAGCTCTAGTGGCCACCACCATGTTCCACCTCCCCTCACTGTGAGGCTGTGACATGGTGGGCTTCAGGCTGACCAGGTGGAAGCTTCAGGGGCTTTCAGTTAGCATGTTTCCATCATTTAGCGGCAGTAGCGCAGTGATGTGTCATTCTAAAAAAAGAAAAAAAAAAAACAGACATGCATTCAAAAAGACACTCTTTACTATGTGTGGGCTGAAAGAGAAAGTACCACTCGTTCTCACTGTGCTACAGTTGGGGGAGGTTGGAGGGGCTGAGAGTAGAAGAGGGGTTTGAGGTCGGGTCGATGCAACGTGTACTCGAACCACAGTGCAATGGGTTTTTCCCACTATTTGACTAAATTAGTGGCCCACTGTTGTTGCCACGTGCAACACTGAGCTGTGAAGCGTTTAACTGCAAACATAAACTACAACTTAATCTGTAATTAAACACAAGTGTGACGATAGTACAACACATATATGTAGTACAAGTATAAACCTAGTGGTATAGAACTATTGTTTTCTATCAGCATATCTGTTGATGTTGAGTCATTATTTTACAAAGTGCTGGATTTCATTGCATTTAAAGGATGAGAGTAGAACACAGAAGTTGACTATGAGGGTCATGAAGCATTTTAGAAAGTGTCTTTTCTGGGGATGTAAAAAAAATCTATTTTTGACTTTGGATTATGATTAAAAGTGACATCTTAAATAAGCAGATAAGTATAATATAAAGCAGTGCTTGGGACACTAGTTATGTGAGTGTCTGCTTGTAACTTACACTCCGGAAGAGGCTTTTTGTTGTGAAACCATGAGGCTTTGTCTAAATCTTATACTTTCACATAGTATAAGATTCAGACAAAGCCTCGTGAAGTCATGTGAAACTTTTATTGTGTGTGTGTGGGAAAATGGTTGCAAGAAGACAAATACCTTCCTATAGCTTGGTGTCTTCAGTTTGATGTGGTGTGGAACTGAGAGAAACAGTATGAAAGTGTACTTCTTCCTCCTGATGGTTTCACCACAAAAAGCCTCTTCTGGAGAGTGCATTACAAGCACACACACACACACACACACGTAGCTAGTGTCAGAAGCACGGCATTATATTGTACTTATCTGCTTATTTAAGATGTCACTTCTAATCATAGTCCCAAGTCAAAAATACACTCTTGCGCACATCCCCAGAAATGACACTTTCTAAAATGCTTCATGACCCTCGTAGTGTCAGAACAACTTCTATGTCGTACTATCATCCTTTAAATGCAACGGAATCCATGCAGGCCTGTTTTGCCCAACAACCTCCTCTTTATGCACACACTGAATCAAGCTTTTTAAATACTCCACGATGCTCACTATGTTGTCTGCCAGTAGCACACAAAGAGTTTCAGATTCCAGATTCAGTTTCAGACCCAAGAACAGTAGCTGCAAAACCAAAACAACGAGCTGAAAGATGCAAAAAATTCTCCATTGAGCCGAAGAGAACTGCTGTCCTCGACGATTTATCGTAGATTCATCTCTATAATTGACACCTTTTACGTCATACGCGGTCATTTTCTTCCATTTTTAATACCAATTTGTCATCAAGCAAAAAAAGCTTTCCTCTAAGCTACTGTGTCCTTTTCTGGTTGCACCCACATTTGTGTGTGGTCAGCAGTTTTATCACACATTTCGTGTTCCATAACTGCTGACAGATTTCATGGCAATGTGTTCAATGTTCTTAGAAGAGAGGAAACAGTCCACCTATTGCTGCTCTGCTGCGATAGACCACCACTAGCATACGTTTTTTTCACAAGCATGCACCTGCTCGAGTGAGCGTTCAGGATGTGGTGGTTGGCGTAGTATTGCAGACCCACAGTTTCAGATGAAGCCAAACACAGCCCAGTAACAATAATTTTACACAGATATGCTCACATTGTTTACAACACCACTGTTTACCTTTAAATATAGTGTGAATTTGCTCTCTTACTGACTTTAAGCAATGGTTTCCACCAACATCTGTCCATTAATATATATTAAAATATGAAAAATCAGTTGCAATTATTCATCTACTTCATTTATAGTAGAAGAACTTGTTCCGGCTTGTGTAATATATTTGACATGCGCCGATGTTTGTCACCCACAGACCAGTTTTTGTGGCATCTTGTGTGCGTCACAGCAAACACGCTGAAAAGATGTTTTGATACGCAGAGAAAACACACTGATTCTAAAATTGATCATTCTTGAAGGCAACAAATAATTAGAGCAGTATCTCGCATTTTCCAATATGCCTCAAAGGGAAATTGCATAATTATCACAGCAATCACGGAGTCTTTTTCTCTGCACATCACATCACCACATCAAGGTCAGGTTCAGATTCGGCACCAAACAAAATACAAAAACGGGTTGTAATAGACAGCCAGTGGTGACCTGCTCAGAAGCAGGACTCGTGTAGACCAGGAGGATCATTGCAAACCTTTTACCTGTTTCATTATTTTAGGAAGAAAAAAAGCATTGGACATCAGAACAAGCACATAAACCCATAACTGTTAAACCAGCCGTGTGATAGTTCCCAAGCTAATCTAAAATGACTGCAATCAATGCAATTTCATAATGTAGAGTTCATTATGTATTTATTATATACTGCATAACTGATGGAAGTACTGGTGCTATAATATTTCATGTGCAGTTTGAGTTGATAGTTGCTGAGCTGAGGTAGCTGAGGAAGATATCCTGATGTAGGCCCCTATTTGAGGGTTTGTTGGTTGACTTCATACACGATGCAGACATGCTGCAGAAAGCAACATGCTCGCTGGCGTCACGTGTTGTTGGCTGGTTGGTGAAACTCTGCTTCTTGGCATCATGTCTAAGTCAGCAGGTATTTAACGGGTTCACACCTGGTGACCTGACGCTTGTTTGCACCTCTGGACTGATGCACAAATCCATATTTAAACAATTTTCTTCACTTTGGTAAGAAAGGTCAAAGGTCAAAAATAAAATAAAATAAAATAAAATAAAATAAAAAATAATGGCCAATATCAGTTGTGTTGCTATGTAGTGGCTGTAGATAAGTCAGGTGGAATCTAACGTGCAGTAATGGCCACTTGACAAATCAATGGGCCACAATATTGATATGAAGTTGCCATTCAGGTCAGCAGGCTTGCCGCTGTGGTTTTGCATAAGCTGCTGCAATGCAAGTCTTGCTGCCGAGTATATTGTTTGATGTGGTGAGGATGGCATTCAAGGACCCAGCATATGTGCAAGACTTCAGCAGTCTTTGTAATTCTAGTGAAGCCAGACAAGAATTGATGGACTACAGCACCAAACATCATGTAACATGAATACTGGGTTCCATTAGAAATGGTCACCCAGCTGTTTTGGGTGCTTGCACACAACTATAATCTTGTACATACAGTATCTCTGTACATACACATTTTATATATTATTACTTAATCAGCTGACACTGTTGTTAATTCCAACATTTAAGAATATATCTGCAGTTTATAGCAGTTGTTGTGATGTTTGTATTTATCTAGGCTGTTATTGTTGTGTAGGTGTATGTTGGTGCTGGTTTCCTTCCTGCGTGTTTGTTTCTGGTATTTGCATGTAAACACACTGAAGGCTACTAAGAAGTAGAGTTACTAAGAACCAGATTTGATGCTTTGTATTCGTCTCCATGCTCCGATTATGTTCCATTTGTTTATCACACAAACACAAAATTAGTTGAAAAGTATTTTATTGGCAACTAATAGCAGGAAAGCTCCAAATATGTACATTGTTCTTTTACATAAACACACACTTAAAACAACAAAGTATACTCATAATATATTAAAATATATAAGATATTGCAGATATATAAATTTAATATAAACATTTGTTAACTGTGGTCACTTTGATTAGTCTTGTGATCTCTCAGGCACGTTTTTTCTGCCCCTTCCTTCCTCTCCTGTGGTTTTTCCTCCTTCTGTTCCTTCCTCTTCTTTTGGATCCCTTCTTTGATGTCACGGTTGCTGCTGGTGTCATGTCATCTGTTGATCCTTCTTGTTTCTGTCCCACCTCCAGCGACGACGTTCTATCCTTGTCCACCTTCGCCATGGCTCTTTTTGCCCATTCGCTGTCCGGGTCCGAGCAGAGTTTGTTTCGACGCCTCGTCTCAAGCCTGCAATTGATTGTGAGTCGTTAATGACATGCTGGGAGTACTCAACTTAGAACAAAATCATTTCGTCTCACTTACATCTAGTAAAATCTAGTCATGCAGAGAGTTGGTTGAGATTTTAAATTTTCCGAGCTCAATGCACAGAAAATCGGCATTTAAAAGTGACCACTGCAGCATCATGAAGTGTTAATGCGCACTCAGCTCTTGACATTTTACAATTTTGAACAGGAATGAGGAATTTCAAACTGAATTCACATTTTTATACTCAAATTTGAGCCACTGGGCTTCTCTGAGAAGTCGGAAATTAATCAAGCATAATATGAGACCACAGCATAAGTGACCACTGCAGCATCTCTTTCCAGACAGGGTTTCTGTTACTCAACAATCAACAATTCTTCCTCATTAAAAAGTAGTTGCATATGACAACTGCTGACTGCTAGAGTTGTGAATTATTGGGAATGACAGACACACTTTCTGGAAAGAGGTGTTTTTGTTGACACTGTTAGATTTGCAGTGCTTAATAAATTTACTACATTTAAATTTATTTATATATTTGCTGTAAGTTTACTGCAGGATGACTTACAGAACTGCTTTGATGGGGCAGACGCCTTCAGGCTGGATGGTGTAATTCACAATACGATTAACTGGCACTTTGGTGGTGGACCACTGGAGACAACAGTTCCTCTCAGATCCATGGGCTAAAAAGGTCACAGATAGAAAAAGACAGATTAGGTACCATTCATTTTACCGTGACAAACATTCAGATCTCACTATTCTGCAGTACTCACTTGCATTGGTGAAGGTCACCCATGTGGTGAAACAGAGGAGAGCAGCTAAAACCAGGCTGAGCTGCATCTTTGGAATTACACCTCGGCTTTGTCCTTCAGAGGT